CAGCCGGCGCCGCCGCTGCGCTCCCAGGTAGGGCTGGGGGTGCTGCTGAGGCCTACCTATCCTCCTCAGCGGCACTGCTGGGCGGGAAACGCTAAGGTCCCCTTCACAAACCCTGAAAGAGGGAGCTACCCTTGTTTACTTTGTTTTAATATTGTTTTCTTAACTTCTATTTTTTAATAGGAACCCGGAGATTCCGGAAGGGAGGAATCCCAGAGAACAGCGTTTCTGCTGTGTAAGCAGTGGACCTTATATAGTGTGACCCCTCTGTACAAGTTTTCCAGCGCCCTCCTGAAGGATTACGCCAAGCTGCTCAGTGCTTCTATTGCTGCCGAGAAGCAGAAAGGGTTGGCGGTGGAAGTAGGGGTGGAGCTGGACATCAAAGCGGTGATATCCATCCTTCCCGACCTGAGACACAGCGACCGAGACCAGGCTGCGATTCTTGTGCAGGTAAGGAGTGTTCCTAGCAATGTGGATAACTGGAATTGAGATTTGCATTTTACAAATGGCTTTTGCTGTCACAAAATACTCTGTGTCTTAAAAAAAAAAACAACCAACAAACTAAATCTTACCTGTATGGAATAACTACTGTGGTAGTTATTCTCCTACTGCTGGAGAGAGTCCAGCGTAGGGCTACAAAGATGATTAAGGGAGTGGAACATCTCTCTTATGGGGAAAGGCTGAGGGAGCTGGGGCTCTTTAGTTTGCAGAAGAGGAGACTGAGGGGAGACCTCATTCATGTTTATAAATATTTAAAGGGTGAGTGTCATGAGGATGGAGCCAGGCTCTTCTCGGTGTCAAACAATGATAGGACAAGGGGTAATGGACACAAGCTGGAACACAGGAGGTTCCACTGAAATTGGAGAAGAAACTTCTTCTCAGTGAGGGTGACAGAGCACTGGCCCAGGCTGCCCAGAGAGGTTGTGGAGTCTCCTTCTCTGCAGACATTCAAAACCCACCTGGATGCCTTCCTGTGCAACCTCATCTGGGTGTTCCTGCTCCGGCAGGGGGATTGGACTGGATGAGCTTTTGAGGTCCCTTTCAATCCTTAACGTTCTGTGATTCTGTGATTCTGTATTTGTTGAGACTTAATGACAGCGAATCCCGTCTGTTTTTAACTGGAACAGAACATCTCATAAGCAGTGGATACATCCAATAACAATTTTGAGTTCAAGTCTTTGATAAGATCAGAGTAAGACTATAAGAAGCAATTTTTGTCTGCTGTTTTAGTTCAGCAGTCAATAGTTCAGTCAAAACTCAAGTCTAACTAGTGTTTCTGAAATGCTTTGCCTCAAGTGGAAGATGCTACTGAAGTTCAGTATGGCAGTGGTTATGGGATGTACTATGGATTGGCTTTTCTTAAGCAGCATAAATTTGGATCTCGGGACTGTTCCCAATAAAGTAAAAAAGTGCTTTTCCTGCTATTTTCAACAGAATTGCATGCATCTCTTAGATGTACCTGACTGACCAACAGTATGAGCTTTGCAAAAAGGAATGTTGCATGCCAGGTTCTGAGAGAAAACTTCTACTGAGCACTTGAAATTATAAACCAGAAACCATCTTTGGCTAAAAAAAGTCAACTTGCTCTGTAGCACTTAAATGCTTCTTTTTCCCATCCCAGCTTTCTACAAGATCAAGTTTTTCCAAGAAAAACTCAGCAGAGAAACTGATATGGTCGGGCTGGTTCTGCTGTGTGTCTGAAGATGATCTTTCTGAGAATCTGCTAGAGGACTTCACTTGTTTACCTTTGTTTCTTGCTAATGGGGCAGAGACTTACACATCCATTGTGGGAAGTTGGTTTCAGAAGACTTTCGACTGCTGCTTCCGCCGTTTAACCATCAGCCCTCTCAATCTCAGCTGGATGGCAGCTATGTGGACCGGATGCAAAGTGGACAAAACCACATCTGCCACAGAACTTGTTTTTTCTGTCTCCTGCCTGCCCTATCCTCTGGATATTTCATATGCCATTCATACAGAGGATGCAAAAGCTCTGTGGGACACAGTCCAAAAAACTCCAGGAGAGATCACTCAAGAAGAGGTGGATATCTTCATGGACTGCCTTTACTCTCACTTCCACAGACACTTTAAGATCCACTTGTCAACTATGAGACTGGTGAAAGTTTCTACAGCCATTGCCTCAGCACACTGTGATGGGTCTGTAAAGGTGAGGTGTTAAGTAGCTAATGCTGGACAAATGAAACAACTGTACCTGTCTAGAAATGCCTTACTTTTAAAAATTAAGGTTTCGTGTTTCTTATGCATAATTTCCTACACAAAGCTGTTAAACCCTCAGCTGTTATTAGTCATAATTAATTCTGGAGTTGGGGCAGCTATCAATACACTATTTTACTACTGTACTGCAGCAGAAGCTACTAACCCTAGTCTTGAGCCAGAAATAGGTGTATCAGCTACAACATGAAGAGGAAAGTTTCTTTGCCAATTGGCCAAAACTTAGGCTTAAAAAAAAAAGTCCAAATTTAATCAAAAACCTTAAAAGAACAAGTTCATTAGCTTTCTAGTATTGCACAGACAGAAGACAAATATAATCAACCTGCTATATAAAAGCTGGTGTTGGTGAGCTAAGAGATGGATTATTTTAAGAGTCAAACCATATTGCTTAAAACTACTTCACTTGTAAGTGTTTTCATAAAGGTGCTGGTCTCCCAGTAGAGGTATCTGTAATGTTTTAAAGCCATGGAGGATTAATCCTTCCTGAAGTTTCTTCAAGGAATACAATGTGGTCTTCCAAGTTAAAGAACAGCTTGTGAAAATGTAGTTGCTTAAATTTAGTCTATGGTGTACCAGCTTCACTGTCCTGGGTACAGGGGAATGTTAGAGGCTACAGCTGGGACCCCACTCGTGTACCTCTTCCGTGGAGCATGAGCTCATTGAACAAAAGAAAATAAGCTTTGCTGGGAAGCACATGCTAACAATTTTGGCCTTTGGCAGGACAACTGCAAACTGTTCAATGTTAGTGTTACATTGCCTGTTTTTACCTGTAGTAGTTTAAAAGTATCTGAAACAACTTTATGTTGCAGATAAGTAAACACAAAAGGTACTCAACTGACTAGGCTTTCTGAAGAAGGGATCTCTTCTGGAATGTGTGTTGTGTAAACTCTTCCATAATGGGGATAATGAGTTCAAGTCAGACATTCAGTATGGGAAAATAGGGGCATTCAAGGAAAATGGCATAGTCTCCTTCCTGGCCTTCCTACAGAAGGAGGCAGGTAGCCAAAGGAGCAGAAGTGCTAGAATTCTCACCTTCCAAAAAGCTGGAGTAGGAGCAGGGCATTTCTTGGTTATCGTGCCTCACACAGGACAGGAGCAGAAGTCAGAGGGCTCAGACAGGAGCAGCATGTAGGTGTATGTGTGTTCTCCATATCCAGGGTCAAAACAGTAATGAAGGTACCTTGCACCAGCACCAGAGCAGCTGCCTAACCACGTGTAACACTTTGTAGTTGGTTTCCAACTGTGTAAGGGTGTGGAAATAGACAACTGAAAGTTTTGTTTTGATAGGCTTGCTTGCTTTCTTGCAGTTTCTACAAAGCCAATACCTAACTGGAGTGCTGATGCTACTGACAGAACTAGCACTCTCTCAGATACAGTGAGAATCCTTTCAACAAATCTTCACGCTGAGGTGGCTTACTGCTGGAAGATGTATGTGGAGAAACCGATGAAAACTGACTCCTGCAGCATCTTCTTCCCTTTCATGCTGGCTGTCTGAAGTTGGACTCTAACTCCTGCGCTCAGCTCTGTTACCAGCTGCAATTCAACATCACATACAGCAAAGACAAGTGGACATTTTGCCCCAAAGGGCTACACTACCAACTGCTAATAGCTTCTTAAGCACCTTAGTTTCATTGTAGTCTGTTTGTTTATGTGAAGGTATCAGCCAGGGGCTAGGAGACGAACTTTGCAAATTCTTGGATGCAATTTATTGATGTGTATTTCTGCTGTTTCAAAGAGCAAGTTGGTTTTCAATTAACTAGACAGCCTAAGCTATACAGACCGTAGCCTTAGCTAAACTGTGACTACTCTTGGGCCAGTCTAAGCGCAAAGTCAAGCACACCTGAGGAAGGGTGCAAGCCCTACACCCCAGGGCAGAAAATCAAGATTTCCAACTTCCTTTCTAGCTTGCTAAGATCAGTTGGTAATGGTCATAGTGTTCATCCACATCCCCCTTGGGCTAAAGATGAACAGCATCAGGCTAAAAACAGCCTTGTGTGTCCAGCCTGTTGGTCCTCTATACACAGACCTCAATTTCCGATGTATTAACTTGTCTAAGCATGGTATTTGCTTTGCTTTGCCAGATGTTTCTAGTCTTAAATGTAATCCTGTAGGCCAGAGTTCTAGAGGTTAGAGCTGTGGGTGCTAAAATTCTATAGTAGCTATCTCCCTTCTGCAGCAGGTAGGAGTTCAGAGAGCTAGTGCACAGTGCTTGACAGTAGCTTCAATGAGCAGAAAGGAAACAAATGCTAAATATTATGGGTTTTGTGTTACAGTGCTAAATAGAGAATATTTACCATCCCTTGCCAATAGATTGGTCTTGAGCAAAGTAAAGACCTCTTATACCTCATTAAAGATATACTTGTATGGTGCTTATTTCCAACTGTAGCTTGCCTGACTAAACTACTAATTGTTACCTATTAAGTAATTCTGTGAGCAGCAAAATTTAGTCTAGTTTCCTATACAGTTCATTTGAAATGGCTTCATACTTGTGCAGCTTCTCTGAAGTCTGAGTTTGTGCTGTGACCTTCCCCCTAAGCAAGGATGCAAGTTTTCCCTTCCTTGCCCAACAACATCATTTTAGGATTTGTCAGCTCTCACCAAAATCATTCTTCTCCCCAGCAACACTGAGATGAACTGGCCCTGTAAACGTAATTGCCTAACACAACATAATTGCATGCCTAGTTCCTAATCAACTTTTAATAACCTATTTCCAGAATTAGCCAAATAAAACCAGTTGGTTTTAGTTTTTCTTTACTAGATGGAGATGGATTATTTTTGCATGTAAAGGCTGCAGTCTGTAAAGTGGTAACTCTTAACTCTGGTAGAAGCAGCTAAGCAATCTTCTGAAGGTCATGACAGCTCAGCAGCTATTTAAGCTATCACTTCTGGTGTTTGTTTCCTTTTATGAAACATCTTAAAGTTTGGTATATCTTGATTTAGAGGAACACTGGGTAAAGCAGGAGTAGGTGGTCTGACATAACTGGCACCTGTATTTGGTTTGAAAACAGGACTATAACACCCATGGCTTAGTTTTAAACCTAATGCTCAGCTTTTTCCTACAGATTTGCATAATCACTAAAAACCTATATCCCTTATAGCCTCTTTTAACCTTTTTCTTGCCTTAAGAACACAGATTATTAGCATGTGAAACTCCAGGGGAGTATGTATATGAACTACAGCCATACTCAGCTTTCAAGAGTGATGCTTTACTATATATGTGTAGTACCTGCTACAGGCCAGCTCTAGAGTATTGCTGGAATGAAAAGCTACTTACTTTTTTTTACATGCTTATCTGCAAACTGGGGTATAGCCCTCACTGATAACTGCAGAGCTAGGTTTAGCCAGATAGTACAGATGCCTTCTTCCAGAAAAAGCTGTTTCTGAATGATGTGCTTCTAAGCAGTTGAGGGTAACGCTACTAAAGGAACGAACAAAGAACAGCATAGAAGAAATTTATTAAGATAGCACTATTTATACAAGTTACTCATGCTAGAAAAAAGCATAAATGATACATGTAAACATTTGTTTACAGAATACTTGTTTCCTTGTAAAGGTGCAAATGATCTTCATATGTAAACACAAGAATACCGACCTTGAGGGGAAAAGGGGCTTTTAAAAAAGTTTTAATGACCCATTTGTTACTGCAGTGTAATTTTTACTATATTCAAGCACATGAAAATCTGAGTTACATGAATCAAACTATGAAGTTAAAAAGAAGAACTTAAGATGTCAGCACAGCCTTTTCATCTCAAGAATTTACAGTCGTCTTTTAAAATCAGGTTTAGTAAGGTCCAAAGTTGGATCAGGTGCAAAAGGTCATTCTTTCATACTCTATAGAAGTTACAGTACAAACGTATCAGAACCGTTGAATGTAGAGTTCCTCCTTCCTCTCCCCCCACCCCTGGGTGCCCCTGCAGTCACTGAAACATGACAGTTACTCATAGTGCCAGCAGACAGTCCCTCCCCTCCAAACTCTAGTGAGCCTAATGCCTTTCCCTGCCCTAAGCACAGGTAAAGTGCATAAAAATCACTAAAAGGGAGGGCACTATCTCATCGAGGTCAGTGTTTTATAACAGGAGCTCTAAAGACACAGACAAGAGGCAGAAGGACAGCTAAGATGATGC